GAAAGTGCATGAAGAAGAGATTCGTAGGTCGATCTCACCAGAAGAGGACGGCTGAATCCCGTTGTACTGCGGCCGTTTGGCCCGTTTTTGGTGAAAACGGGCTAAGCTTTCATCCATCAAATGATGGACATCTTCTAAGTTGGGTTTCGTTCCTGTAAATGTCTCACGTTAACACTATCCAGCACTATCCTACCTCTCATATAGACTTAATAATTCATACTGGACCTGCTACTTTTGCTCGAGTGTTTGTGTGTGTGTGTGCGTGTGTGTGTGTGTGTGTGTGTTAGCGTCTATACACAATACCGTTCCTAAATCACAGTAATCATAAGGTTAAATTTAGGCTCTGATCATCAAGGCCTAATGACCTGAAAAATGGCCCTGACCGAGACTGCGTAAGTCCGTAAGCAAGTATGATTGAGATAATGAGATGCAAGCTTGTAAGCATGTCAGGCAAGTCACGAAACCACTTGTCCTAACCCCTCAGTCTAGGGTCATTAACGTTTGACCCTCGAAGGATAGGCAAGCCTGGGGCTGCTTAATCTAGCACGTCTGGTTTGGTTGATGAGCTTAATTTCACATTCAACAAATTTCATAATCTCTCAATTTCCATATCCTCTTTTAACTTTCTTTCAACAGCAGACGTAGCATAATCAGCAAACCTACTAGTTTGAGAACATTCTATCTCATGTCTATTTTCCACCACGTGTTCTGCCACTTCTGACGGTTGGACCCAGCTTCCCTTCAAGCATTTTTGTGTTCTCCCAAGCTCTGTCGAATAGCTCGACATGTCCCATTAACATAAGATCCTTTCCTTGATTGAGTCTATAAACGAGGTATGATAGAGCCGGATAGTCCTCCTGTCCTCGTGTTAACGTGAGACTAATACAGGAATGAGACCCAACTCTGATAATGTCCATCAAATGAGGGACAAAAGCTCAGCCCGTTTTCATCCGTAACGATGGAGGATGTCCCGTGTACTTCGTCAACCTGAACGTCTTCTAAAAGTCAAACGGCTTCAGTTCAACGCGATTCAACCGTCCTCTTCTGGTCAGATCGACCTACAAATCCCTTTTTCATGTTCTTTCAAATGGCATAATAGCTCCCTCCAAAAATTTTATCTCATGAGATGCATCGAAACCCAGTTTCTCTTCGTACAGCTCCTTTGTTTTGAACGTATAGGCCCTCGAGCCAAACGCGCCTGAGCCCTTTTGTGACTGTGCCAATCGTTCTCTCTTCAGGGCGTCTAACTTCGGCATAGCAAGCCGAAATCCAAAAAGGAAACAGAATAAATTGGCCATAGATAACATTTCGGTCTTTCGACTTTTTTCGCTAGATCCGAATAGACGATTTTGTGAATACCTTCCAACTAGGGCTGAAGAGGATTTTCAAACGGACTTTCCACTTTGGAGAAACTTTCAGGCAAGCTGAAGTCCGTGAGTTTGTCGGACATGACTTACATGTTATAATTCCCGGGCAAAATAAGACCCCTACCAAACAACCTACTGATAGCTGTGCGTTTTTCTTCTTCTAGACACATTGTAAGAACATATTATTTGATAGCGATAGATAAAACCGTGAGAAAACTAGTTGGTCCCATTCTGCATGTGAAAATCCATTTCAACTGAAAGTGGATATTTTCCTTCTAAACTCCTCCCAAAGTATGCTTCGCTGAATAAAAAATGTTAATAATTTTGTGTCCCTCAAACCCATTCGGAATTCTGAACATGTGATAACTCCTCAAGATAGCCATAATTGTTCTCGTCAAGAACAATGGTAGGCTGAAATCTTGACTGAATCAGAGCACTCAATATAAGAGGTTTATTCATCCTATTTCATTTAAGGTGATCAAAGATTGTTATATGAAGAGATTATGTGAACGGGAAATAACTTTTAAAGGTCTATGGGACAAAATCTGAGGTCGCCGAACA